TATTCATATGTTTTTTTAATTAATATAATTTATGTATTCAGATGTATTATATAATTTCTCTGAAGATTGCTATGTTTTTGGGGTATTTTGCGATTGAGAATCTTTTTTATAACTGAAAAATATAAAATTTATGTGTTATAATTGAGTTTGTTGAGTTATATTAGGAGTCTATTATGTTAATTGATTCACTTTTCGTTTTAAAAACAGTGTAATCCCCTATTTCACGCCGTGAATACAGTCAAATACAGTCGAATACAATAATTTGTCCAGCTGTAATCCCATGTTTCACTCCATGAATACAGTCGAATACACTCGAATACAACAACTGATTAGCTGGACTTCCCTGATTCACGCATATTTTTGCTACTGTATTCATGAATACAATAGCTTAAATACATCTTATAACCATAGAAAAGGTATCTATAATCCGTAATATAGCAAACGGTATCTATAGATAACTAATTACTACTAAAAGATAGTGCTTCATGAAAATTTCTCATTAATTTATAAACGATGGTACTAAATGATCCTATTTGTGCAAATATCCCCAACCATTATCCAAGTAATAGGGCCCAAGGCCTGAAGAGCAACCATTTCACACTGTGGGATACCCCAAATGAGAGAGAGAGAAATTCAAAAATAGCCATATTTATAAGTGGTCGTTCAAAAATAGCCCAGTTTCAAAAGTAATCGAAATCTACCCACTTTTCAAGTAAAGATAAATCTGAGCGAAAATACTATTCAAAACCCGGAAAATATGCCAATATATTATGCTGGAGTTCCAGCATAAGTATACTTGAACTCCAGCATATTATACTGGAGTTCCAGGATAAGTATGCTGGAACTCCAGCATAATATGATGGAGTTCTAGCATAAGTACACTAGAACTCCAACATAATATACTGGAGTTCCAACAAAGTATACATGTCCAGTATAATATGCTGGAAGTTCATACACGAGTGCTCGAATCTCCAGTATAATATGCTGGAACTTTCCGTGTGTTGGAGTTCCAGCATAATATGTTGGAAGTTCATACACAGGTGCACCGAGCTCCAGTATATTATGTTGGACCGGTCGCTGTTACCGCAAAATAGTAGCTATTTTTCATTGACTTGGTAAACGCTGGCTATTTTTGAATGACCAGTCCGAAAACTGGCTAGACCGTGCTATGTTTACCAAATGAGACCTCGATGATCCATAAAGCCCAAATCTTTTCCTAGTTCATGATAAGTGGTCATCAATATATGTGTGAGTGAACTTCCTTATTTTTTTTTATATTCACTTTTAAGCCCCGTCTAAAGGAAAATGATATTGTATAACCGCTCTTAAAATAATAGTCGAAAAATATATATTTTTTGTATATCTTCTGTATATATACATTCTTTATATTAATATAAAAATTATATAAATTTTATACACTTTTTCGGCTACCGAATGTAAATAGTTTCTGGAGCGAGCTAAAAGTGATAGTACTCCCCAAATAATTCGAATTTTTGCCAGCAGTGTTTCAAATTTGGGTCACATATGGCCTATTAAAAAGAGAAGTGTTTCTTATCATGATTTTTTCTATTCCTAAAGTTCGAACTCTAAACCTCCAAATAAAGGTGGAGGGATCTTATCCATTCCCCCACAACTATCGGTGGTAAACTTTCATTATCTAATATGATCCAACGTTTCTTACAAGTTCTTTCAAACTCAACATATATATTTCGAAGTATTACCGTCAAAAGGATAAAGTGATCTACTAATAACTTTTGTTGCTTTCTCGTTATTATTTGTTACCACTGGATTAGGAACCATACGAAGCTGTGTGAAATTCAAAAATAGGTAGATTTATAAGTGGTAATTGAAAAATAGCCACAGTTCAAAAGTAATTAAAATTTAGCCACTTTTCATGTAAAGATAAATCCGAACAAAAATACTGCTCAAAATCCGGAAAATATTCCAGCATAATATGCTGGAGTTCGAATTTTTTACATGTTAACTTCCAGCATAACATACTGGAATTTCATAATGTGCTGGAGTTCCAACATAATATGCTGGAAGTTCATACACAGGTACTCCAATCTCCAGTATATCATGCTGGAAGTTCATACACAGGTACTCCAATCTCCAGTATATCATGCTGGAACTTTTCGTGTGCTGGAGTTCCAGCATAATATGCTGAAAGTTCATATACAGGTGCCCCAATCTCCAGTATATTATGCTGGAACTTTTCGTGTTGCAGCAAAATAATGACTCTGCAAAAGGTGGCTATTTTTCAATTATCAGTCCGAAAACTGGCTAGCCCGTGCTATTTTAACTAGGAAGCTCGCTATTTACCAAAATATAAGTAAAATTATTCCTCTCAAATAATTACCACTACCTTTTTAAATAAACACAATATTTTTTGCTGCATTCTTTTTATCACCTTAATTAACGCTTCCATTTTTTTTTTTGAAGAATTAACCTAAATAGCCGTGCACCCAACGAATTGACTTGAGATCCAGTATAATATATATAGTTCATTTAAATTATATGTATAATCATATATAATCAAAATATAATTTATGTATATTACCTGGAAAAAATAAACAATGAACCTACCACCGGCTACTTGTGTATGAATCCCAAATGAATGGGATAATGTATGAAATCTCCTAGTTTTAAGGGTCGAATATAGGTGAATGGTGATATATAGCCACCATAAACACAAAAATGAATATTCTTGATGCTTTTTTTCTACATCAGAGAATCAACTGTTTTTTGACAGTTAAAAGTAAATGGTAAAATAGTTCGTTGAAAACAAGTCCACTCAATATGACTGATGCATGGCCTTTATAGAATATTCATGCAAATTCTTTCAATAAAAGCTCATACTATTTCTCTTCACGTATTCTTGGTATCAATCGTTGCCTTGCCTTTGAGACTGAAAAATGCATAATCTTCCTTCCTTTCTTTGCACTCCAACTCCTCAATGCAAATTAAAAATGCTTGGAAAAAACTTCATTATTATTGATTAAGATGTTCTCATTTATCATTCTCTAAGTATATATATCTTGATATTGCTCTCTCATGCATTTTGCTCCATAACTCTGAGAAACCAACTCTCGTACGAGCTTCTGGCGGTTCATTCATCTGATAAATTAGGGTCGACACTTTTGATTCTGCATTATTTTCTTCAAGATTCATCATGACAGGAGCTTTCGCTCGTGTGCTATATTTTTCGTTAGAGAATAATTTTTTTATTTTCATACGAGCTCCTTACGGTTCATTCATATGATAAATTAGGGTTGCCACTTTTGATTCTATATTATTTTCTTCAATAATCACAAGATTTATCATGACAAGAGCTTTCGCTCGTGGAGCTATAATTTTTCGTTAGAGATTAATTTTTTTATTTTCATTTCTTCCAAATGATACCTCAAAAAGGTATGCAATAAAGCAAAAAAAAAAAAAAAAAAAGGATGTTGTATATTTCTAGAATATTGGGATATGAAAGGGTGATTCATAAGCCATTTCAACAACTACTAAGGAATTGGCACAAGGAAAGATTAACTCCAGTAGCATGGGAAAAACCAAAAATAGGATGGACTAAGTTAAATTTTGATGGATCATGCAAATGTAAAACAGGAAAATCAAGCATTGGAGGTATTTTCAGAAACCACGAGGCCGAATTTCTACTAGGCTATGCTGAATCTATCGGAAAAACCAATAGCACAATCGCTGAATTGACAGCCTTAAGCAGAGGTCTCGAGTTAATAATTGAAAATGGTTGGAATGATGTGTGGCTTGAAGGAGATTCTAAGTCTTTGGTTGATGTTATTGTATCAAAAAGAGTTGTTAGATGTAAAGAAGTCCAAAAACAAATTAGTCATATAAATTTATTAATTCCTGAAATTAAAAGTTGTATTATAACACATATTTTTAGAGAGGGAAATCGAGCTGCAGATAAATTTGCACAAATGGGACATCATTTAAAAAAGCCTCAAATTTGGAGAGATATTCCTCCTAATCAAGTTCTTCGTATTGTAAAAGAAGATGCTGAGGGTAAGACATTTTTTCGTAGAAGATAGGTTTTTGTAAAATAAAATAAAAATTAATAATTTGGGTGATAATTATTTCACCTAGGTTAATTGCATATAGTGATAATTTAGGTGCTAGCTGATGAATAAATCAGATTATTACCAAGAATATAGAAAGGGGAATCTGTATTTTAGCTATTTTTCTTTTCAGTTAGTTGTAAGATTTCCATGTGTATCTTGAGTTAGATTTAATAGGCACCAGTGTAATTCTTTATTGTATAATTCATAGTTGTTGTAAATTGTAATCGTAAGTGAGTAAAATTTTAAGAATCATTCATTTGCGAGTATGTATGTTGTTTTTGATAGTATAGAAATTATTAACCCCATTTTATTATTTATAGTTATGTTTGATTAGACGCGGAGTTCAAGAAACGAAATTTTTTTACACATATAAAAATGTCCTTCAACACTAGAATTTCTATGACTATAGATTACTACGGGTAAAATAATATTTAAAATTAAAGAATTTTCTAAAATATAAATGAATTATTTCCTTGGAACAAAATAAAAAGAAAATTCGACCTACTGGTTTAGGTAAATATCTAATGCATTCCCCGACCAGAGAAGTCATTTTTGGAGGAGAAACTATGCATTTTTCCGATCTGCATGCTCCATGGTTAGAGCCTCTAAGGGGTCCAAATAGGTTAGACTTGAGTAGGTTGAAAAAAGACATAAAACCTTGGCATGGCTACACAAATTGTTGAAAATCGGAATATGGTAAAATAGCTCCTGGGTGGGGAACTACTCCTTTGATGGATGTCGCAATGGCCTTATTTGTAGTATTTCTATATATTATTTTGTTCAGATTAACACAAATGTTATGAAGTGGTCAACAAAATTTAACTTCTGGTTCGTTTTATATTTAACATGGTGCCTGAATTTAGAAATAAAATCCAATTATGAAAGAACAAAAGAGATTCACATGGTACAAAAGTCTGGTACAACAATCTATATCTCTCTACAATTTTAAATATTTGATTATCAGTACAATATCAATAGCTTTCATAACGCCAATAAACCTTAGCAATCAACAACAGACAGCTTCTACACAAAATTTTCTTTTTTCCTTCTAATAGAAAAACAAGCACAAAACAGACTAGAAGAATTACATACAATAAGGGGGAAATTGTAGTGATGACAACAAAATCTAACATCTTCAGTCTTCTTTTCCCTAGAAAAAAGTACTAAATAAGAAACAAAAAAACGAAAGAGAAAAATCAATGAATAACTTAGGAAGATTTTACTTTCTTCGCCATTGTTGCCGCGCAAGTGTGTCAAGCTCCAGAGGTCAGCATTATTGGATAAAAATGTACATAATCCTTCACTAACAAAATTTTGTGAGGCAGGTATGTGGCTACTAGCTAAATGGTTAAAAGTAAACTAGACATGATTTTTGGTCTTTTCGGCTAAATATACATTTGTGTGTTGTATATAATGATTCGCGACGCAATTCTTTTGCAGTAACATATGATTGTTGAAGGAACTTTCATGGAGCCATGAGCTGCTCAATTGTATAGGAAAGATCCTTTGCCCAGTCGGCTTTAAGAAGCAACGTCTGTAACGTGTGCATTATATTATAATCAGGATCAAGTTTCCGCTGCCAACCCTACAACAACAGTATGAACAGCATTACATATAGTTATGTAAGCAATAGTATTCATTCGGTTTATTCCCTTTGTCGCCCACAGAAATTTTACGTTCAATTATGTTTAGAACTGATAGAAGGAAGAAACTACCTCCAGGACTAAAGTTGTGACCATTGCGGTGCACACATTGCCGTCAATGTTCACTCTGTGCCGCCTAACTTGTTCAAGTAGTTGCATCATGCAGTCAGCAGGATGGACTAAATCTCCTTCTGGAGTCCCCCAAAAGTCGAAAGATTCTTTCACTTCCTGTTTTGCAATGTAATAAAAAATAAGACTAAATATATTCATAGTACAAACGTTCTAAGATAAAAGCTTCCAGCAAAATCTGAGCAATACAGAGGGGTACTGGCAGTGGTCATAAAAGGGCCATTATACAGAAAATTGATACTAATATTCTGCACGCATAACCTTAGAAGGGTATACCGTACATGAATTATTAAATTAAAATGTTCAATCATATATATCTACAAATATGAGAACTAAAAACACTTAACCAAGAACAATCAAAACCATGCTTCTGATTCTGGAGGAAGGTTATTTTTCTCATAACTAAGCAGTGGCGTACGCATGATTTTTTATAAGTTGTGTCACAATTCGAAAAAATGGACAAATGAATAAATTACCATAATGATAAGCAGTGTCATTTTCTATATTTATCTCCAATATTTTCATTTTTTATACATATCTACTAATAATTTTCGACGAAGCGGTATCCCGTGACACCGCATAGGACACGGTGTATACGCCGCAGACTAAGAGAGAGGCTGGTTGAAGGGAAATGGGGCAAAAAAATCCAGGGAATAAAATATCCCCAAAACTATTGGACATTCAAAGAAGAATTAAAACCCTTCTCAGAAACTGGAATAGCACATACACCAACTAATATTACGAGCGGAAAATGAACTATTTGACCTCTTAAAAAAAAAAAAGGCATTGCACATGGGAACACTGGCAGATCCCGCTGACAGGAGCAAAGGAAGGTCTCTTTCGTTTTCAAGCATTAGCAGGAGAGAGGAGTCTGTTAGTTTAGAAAGAAGGCTTTTACTTATTTCGGGTGGGTTAGTGTGTATCAGCTAGGGTGAAGGCGGACAACGAAAAGATGGAAAGTTTTCTTGAAATATTCAAAATTCTATGGGGAAGGAGGAAATGAAGAGTTTTTGGCAAAAACAAAGTAATCTTGAGCTTCTATTTCTGGCGGTCAATAGATTTTATTCAGTAACTTCGGACACAAACCCCCCCCCCCCCCCCTCCTAAAAAAAAAAAAAAAACAGATGCGTAGTTTCTCATTACAATCTATATCTTTTATGTATCAACTTCTCTTTTTACAATTGCCCGGATGACGTAAACAAATTTGAACAGCATTTTGGCGTAGTTTCCTTGTCCCTTCTGACTTTTTTCTTCTACTTAGTTTAGCATGGTGTTCTATCAAAGGTAAATAATCCAGCCAATTCCCCAATGCTGTCACCTAAAAGGCTCATGGATAAACTTCCTAGAAGAGAAAAGGCGATACAGATAAAAGTGAAACCATGTTTCCACACCCATATAAGAGATTCAGCCCAACTCCTCGATGTAGTAAGAACCAGCATGCCTGTTCTAAGTGGTATTGCTTCATTGAACTTTATTTTTAAGGATAGCTAACTAGTCAAAGTACTCGGGTTAAACCAGTCCAAAAAAACAAAAGTCACTGGTTAAATAGAGTCTTAGTGACAATCGCGTTGAAATAGAAAAGAAATTTTCAACGAATAGATTATTCACCTTAATGAATGCATCAGGATCAGGGCAGTTCTGCTTCTTTGACAGATTTAAAGTGCACTGAGCTGCAGTCATACCATCTCGACGAGCAACAGCCTTAAAGAATTCAAGCAAATTCAGCTTGTCGTTCTGAGAAAGTTCAGCAGTCATGCCTACATCGAGGAAAATCACATGGGGCTTTGACTTGAATATACGTTTCCGAGAGGATTTGTGCTGTGGTACACGAACAAGAATATTTCCTGGATGCATGTCAGCGTGCATAAAGTTGTCAACCTGAAAGAAAGAGGTGTATCTTAGGTCCAGCAAAATCTCTCTCTCACACACACACAACTATACATAAAACCAAGCTTTCCTTCTATTACTTCGGGTTAACATCTAAGCTTTCACATGATATTACGAAATAGTAAAGATCTCAGCACTCTGCCCGCTCTCACTACTGAGTAGGTCACCGCCTCCAGTACACAAGTAACAGCCTAGATTTCAAGGTGATGGTTCATTGAAAGCAACATTAAGAGCATTAGTGTGAAGCCAGTTATTGGTGAGCTGCTTCTTCACCTTAACATATTGGAAGAAAGTAACTTCTTGATGTGAAGGCAAATGATGTTGAATATGTTGTGCAGAAGAAATAGGAGACAAGTACAAGAGAATATATCTGAAAAACCAACTATATATGCACATGCATAATGAATGGAGACATCGAAGCAAAACCACATAGGTTATCGTGCCACAAACATATAACATCCTTGCTCTAAGCGTACGTAGATCTGTATCTGTGTCCAATACTCTCATCTCAGCTTTATGTAGAAAAAGGCGAACCCATAATACTAAGGAATATCAAATAATCTTTATTTACGTTATGTTCGAACAGAGTCTTCCACATGTAAAAGAGTAATTGAGAATTTCATTTCGAGTAAAATCCAATTATACTATAGAGTATAAACAAAAGAAGGATGGATCAAATAGGAAGTTTGAGAGCCCGTTTGGATTGGCTTAAAAAAAGTGGCTTTTATGCACAAGTGCTTAAAAGCACTTTTTTAGTGCTGGAGCTTATTTTTCAAATAAGTAGTTACATGTTTGGATAAAAGTGTTGAAGCTGAAAAAAAGTTATTGAAGTGTTTGGTAAACAAGTGCTGGTAAGCACCTTTTCTGCTAAAATGATTGAAATATCCTTAAAGCTGTTAACACTTAAATGAGCTTATTACTACAACATCCTTAATGTAAAATTAACTCAAACACAGATTAATTTATGTCTTAATTAACTCTAAATTAAATTAATTAGATAAGATTATTTTTAATAAATATAAACCGTATGCCAATAGAATTGCAACATGCTTTTGTTCTGAATATTCAGTGTAATTAAGGGTCTTATTAATTGCTTATCACAGAAAAAACAAAGCTACCTAATTAATTATCTTGCAGCTTGTAATAAAACTTCTATTCTTATTTTCTCTGTCACAACTTAATCCTACCATACGTACCATTCAAAAATACTGGAAAAGATGAGATGGAGGTCTAATACGAAGGAAGAAAAGTTATAATAATGTGAAGAAAGATAACTACAATGTCAAAATGGAAGACGTGAAAAAAATGACGTTATGACTTAATTAGTAAAGTAAGGGTATTCTGGAATTTACAAAAAACATCAGGGATAATAAGGTCAATTACTTGGTCAAACATAAAAAGCTTTTAAGCCAAAAAGCAATAAGTTGGGTATCCCAACTTGTGGCTCTTGGCTTAATTCAGCTTAAAAGCACTTGGCTTAAAAGCTGTTTTTAGGTTTGCCAAACACTTAAACAAGGCAAAATGTGCTTTTAAGCTGATTTGACCAGCTTTTAAGCCAATCCAAACACCCTCTGAATCTGTAAACGTTTCTCAGCTTATCTAACTGGACATAGAACCTATTTTTGGGATCACATATAATTTAATAAGCCCCATCCTCATCAAGAAATCTGGTGGATAGATCCAATCACAGTTAAAATTCTAGCTTCTTGCTTTGAAAAATAATGTAACAGCTGGCCAATAATCGCAGTAAGACGAATTTTAGGAAAGAGAAACGAATTACTATATGATGAACTGCAAAAAAGTGATGTCAATACAACTTTACAAGCAATTCGAACAAAGCAGATCAGAGAAAAGCTTACCAGAAGCATCTTGAGAAGTGCATGAGTCCCGATATGAGCAAGAGCACTCTTAAGTCGTTCGTGACCCACGAGTTCATCAACATAGTGGGCAACACTTTCACCTTCCTCAAAAGTTTCCACCAACACAGCAGGATGTACTAATGGATAAACAGGCTTAGGGAAAGAGACATTTTTCCATCTCCGAAAATTATAAATAAACCGACTTAGATGGGCAGCTTCTCTTGCAAGGTCAACTTGTGACATCATAAAGACAGCAAATTGCTGGACACTTTCCTCCAATCTAAGCCACTTAAGTGATGGTATGAACCCTGATATTTTTGCAACGACATTGATAATCTCAAAGTCTCTTCGAATTGATTCACCAACTCCAGGGTGTCTAACCTTCACTGCCACTTTTATAGGTTTGATCTCTCGACCACGGTATCTATACTTCAAGGAAGCACGATGCACTTGAGCGATACTTCCAGATGCTACAGGGGTCTGCTCAAACTCGTCAAAAATCTCCGAAAGCTTGCGACCAAAAGCTTTTTCAACAACTCTTTTCGTGTAGGCAAAGCTATGTTCAGGGGCTTTCGAGTGAAGCTTTGACAGCTCAGCACACAAGTCTCTTGGGAACAGATCCGGCCGTGTAGCCGCCCATTGGCCCCATTTTATAAATGCTGGACCTGCTCTTTCAAGAGTCCGGTGAACAACCTGAAGCCATATTTTCCTGAACCTAGGTCCCAGAACTTCTGCAAATGGAGCCATTGCTATGCTTGGAGAAAACAGGATTGCCAAATAAAAAGCTCTCACCAAAAGAATAGCACCTTCAAATGCTGAAAGAATTACTCGAGTAAATAAAGCATGACAATTTTGTGCACGTAGATAAAATGAATTCCTTGGCGGGGAAAGGTCCATATCCGGGAGAGCTTCTGCCACTGCTACATTTTTTCGACATGTTAAGGCAAATATACCAGGAACAACAACGGCAGAGCGGCACAAGGCCAAACTAACTGCTTGAGCAACTCTACTAAGTGGAACAAAAGTTCTTCCCTTGTACAAAGAATTCAGCAAGAACCTCTTCCAAGCAAGTCGGGCATGATGTAATTTAGAATTACTTGATGAAGTGGCTGACTGTATCTTGTGAAAATTGTTATAGATGCCATTTTGCAATCTGTACCCAGTAAATGAAGCATATCCTCTAGAAGAAGATGTGTATTGCCCATAATATCTGTATCGAGAAGAACATATCCCAACCCTAAGAAGCAATCCGTGTTTTTCTCCTGAATAGACACTTCTCTGACTTTTTTCAAGGGATTGTACAATTCTTTTAATACTACCAATTCTAAAGAATCTGCATTAGCAAAAAGTACAAATACAGGTTACAAAAAGCATTCTGTGATTACAAAAGACCAATGCATTCAAAAGAAAACTAAGTACAATATAAATAACCAATACGCGGAAACAACATCCATCAGGAACTCATGAAGAATCACCAATAATTCAAGAAAAATTCTGCTTCAGCGACATTTGAACTTCTCTCAAATATTTGAAAGTGTCACAGGACCCTCTTATGGTTTCCCCCTCTAATAATGACCGATAAGGTTTACAAAAGGATTCAATTTTGTAGCTGTAAACAGAACTAGTATAAAGGACCAACTAATCAGTTGCTAAATATTTTCTGCAAAACGCTGGATAGTTTGACAAACTTATGTTGTTTATGCTTATGTCATTTAAGGGTCTGTACTCGTTATCCAGGATTCAGGAAAAGAAAAGACGAGTTCCAGATCAAGAGATTGATGTTCAGTTCTAGGATTTTGCTCTTCCATTTCTACATTACCATATCTTCTTGGAGTGTAGTGAAGATTTGGTATTAAGGTAATTTCTATATTACCATACTTTCGCTCAGTAAGCTAAAGATTTTCAAACACAAGAAGTTCAGACACGAATGCTATAAATAAAGAGGAAAGCTTCTTCTAGACCAAAGCCCAAGAGAATCTAGAAAGAAGAGAAATTTTCCACCTAAATTCACTATATCAGCTAGTAACTAGTCGGGACTACTCGGGTCTCCATATAGCACAACCACAAAAACATCCAAATAACCAAATGATTAATGAAGTTATCTGATGACCAGAGGCAGAGGCAAGATTTGAAGCTTATGGGCTCGAAATTCTAGTATGTTTAAGTTACTGGGTTTTTTGGTTAATAATTTATACCTATTCAACGAATTTCTTAAAGATAAATACAGGATTTGGACCAAAGCTACTGGTTTGGCCATACCCCATTCCGCATTCTATCTCCGCCCCTACTAATGACAGTCCTTTTATCTACCTCATTCGTTTGCCCAAAAGTAATCCGCCTTAAACTTCACAAAGTATAGCCAAATCCAAACCCAATGAGGAAGGAAGCTTGCAATAGATTGACAACCATAATAAAAACACTCTAATTATGATGAATTATCTTAAGGGAAAAGGTCTATTACTTTTTCCGAAATATCTCAACTTCAACCACACCCTTAACCAGGGGGAACTAGCCTTCGAATTACAGGTTCGGAAGAACCTAGTAGCTTTGACTCAGATCCTATATTTTGTGTTAAAAATCCACTTAATATGTATAAATAATTCATCCAGAAACCAGTAAGCTGCCTTTTCTAGAATCTAGAACTCATTAACTCAAAATCCTAGCTCCGCCCCTGCCCTTAATGTTAGCAAATCGTTCGTATTTAGCCTTGAGCTTAAAGGAGCTCAAGCGTAGTCTAAATATGAAAATAATTCGGGCAAAGGGTCCAAAATTACCCCCTATACTTTTGACTATGGTTTAAAATTATCATCATTTAAACTTATATTGTAACTGATTTAGGATTTAAATCAAAACAAGAAGCAGAACAACATTAAGTAAAATCGAGAATCAACATAAAAATTCAAAAAGGGTAAAAAACCTTAAAAAATTACCTTGACATGTCGATGCAAAAGGGAAATTAAAAGGAATTATATGCGTACGGTGGTGTTGGCTAACGTGCGCAGGAGGTGGCGAATGGCAACGAAGACGAACATTTAGGAGAAATTATTGAAGAGCAAGAAGAAGAAACCATTGTTTTGTTACATAAAAGGATTTTTTATTTTGGGTTCTTTCTTGCTTCTTCGGACAATATTATTTTTGATATAATGTTTTTTTTTTTTCCGGTTAAAACCTAGGCGGCGTAGATGAAGAAGAAGAAAAGGAAAAAAATAGGAAATAATAATAAAAGAAAAAGAAGCTCTAGTTTAGATCTTGGGGTGGAGGGCAATTTCTTTCCCACTTGGGGGTCAGATTCAAGTCCACATCAATTTTGACCATATTTATTTATCATTACCTTTTTTCAATTTAATAATTTATATTTGAGCCTCACTACTAATTTCAAACATGAATTAAATCTATTAAAAAGTTTTCCATTCACAAAATTTATATTCGAAATCTTTATTAGTTGTTTTTAACTTAAACTTTTCTCAATATTTTCTTGATCATTATTTTGTTTTACCTTAACTTTTTTATCAATATTTTCTTGGAACTTTTTTATCAATATTTTCTTGGACTAAAATCCATTGAAAAAGAAAAAATAGAGATGTATGTTATTTTTTTGGGTACAAAATAGAGATGTATATTATATGACTATTGATGAAAATATCTATTGTATGAGCTGTCACTTTTTGATGGCCAAAAATGTAACACACGAGCTCATAATGCAAGACAAAGTTAAGCTTGTTTTCCAAGTAGATATTTATTAAATTAATTAATAGAGAGTTAATTTTAACTTATCAATATTTATCTTAATATTTGGTGGTAAAAAATTTTCTCTACAGATGAAAAAAGGATTAAAGTGAATAAACAACAATAAATACACATTGAGTGAATTTTATTCTTTTTTCAACTTATGGTGGTAATGTTTGGTAAACAAAACTTAAATTTTTGATTCATATGTTATGGGCTTAATTTATAAGTAATCAACAAACATAATTTTTCTTTAATATGTTATAAACAATACTTAATTTTTCATTGACAAGAACATTGTCAACCCTTACCTTTATCGCCAAGCAAACTGAAAAATATCTTCCAAGAAAATAATAAAAAATTAAAAGGCCTAGGCTTGTTTAAGGGAAAAGGAAACCAGAAATTGAACACCTCTTCCTCATCTTGTCTATTATTATTCTTCTTCTTCATAACCCACGCTTGTTGTGAAGAGGCAAGTCAAATGACAAAGTACTTTTTTTTGGAAGGGGGAGGGGGGAGGGGCGGTTTACCGAGTCGTATTTGTATTGGAATTTGATTATATCTGAATTCGCATTGTGTAAAGTCTATCTAAGGGGTAAGCGCTCCCTAATAGAATTTTTTTCGTACCCAAAGTTCTGGAAATGGGGGAATATCTACAATACCTGGATTTAATCATATACAATTTGAAGGATTTTGTAGGTTCATTGATCAAGGTTTGACGGAAGAACTTTATAAGTTTCCAAAAATTGAAGATACAGATCAAGAAATTGAATTTTAAATTAGCAGGAAATAAAGAAGGATAAGGAGAAAGAACTCAAGTAATTATCCTTCGTTCTCTTAATTGAATTGCAATTGAACTTGGCCAAATCTTTTACTAAAAGGATTGAGCCGAATACAACAAAGATTCTATTGCATATATTTTGACTAAGTATATACTTACCTAGATATACAAGATTTGATATACAAAATCTAGAAAACTAAATCAGCCTGACCCTGGGAAAGAGACTGTAATCGCCACCGAGAATAAACATGCTGTGCCAGGTGACAGGAATCCTCTCAGGTTAGTTGAACATGCTGACAATCGGCAGAAAATTCTGAGCAAAGCTGCTGGCCAACCTGAGACCTCTAGTTAAGGGCGGGGGGATCACAATCATTCCACCGCATCTATGTTGTTGTCAAATGAAAAAGGTGATGTTGGCCCAAGGAAAAAGGATAGTTTTGAAGAATGACAAAGGAACTCAGAAATGAACCAGGTCCATCACTGGTAGACATAGACACAGGCAGACTCAAGGCACGTGAGATGCACATGCAGGGGATAAACGTATTCTGGCATAATGGATATTCCCTGATCGAAAAGATTGCATAAATGATAAGGAGAAGGACTCCTTACTCAAAGAGAACATTATCCAAGATACGGAAGGATTTAGTTGTTGAGATTAATTAGAACTCTTCCACCAAGGAAGAGTAGCATTAGAACTCTAATTATTTCTTCATCTACTAACTCTATATATGGCAGAATGTTCTCTTTTTACAGGAATGCTAAAACGTGAATTGAGAGCAAAATAGCAAGGCAATTTTGCAAGCAGTTCGTGTGTGATTCAAGTGTGCAAACCTAAAGCTACATGAACCAGATAGAAGAACTAGTTCAAAGTGTCAGTCTTTTATTCTAGTTCAATTGTACTAGGTATTTTCATATTGTACCTTTGAGCTTTATCTAGAGGCAATTGTAATAGGTACTCAGAGATTTCAAGTTTGAGTTAACTTGAAGTTGTTGCAGCAGTTAGAGGCTGTTTGCCACAACGGGATTAGAGTTAGTCCTAGGTTTACAAAAGTGTTTTTGTAAATGCAGTTTTTGGCTCAGTGATTTAGTGAAGAGTTTGGGAAAATCCTACTTGAAGTAGGTCGTGGTTTTTTCACCTTTTGAGCCAGGTGTTTTTCACGTAAAATACTTGTGTTCTTTACTTTCCGCATTTACTATTTCTGCAATAGTAGGTTAAGGAACACTTAGAAGACAGGTCCTTCCATATTCAGTTTAAGCGAAAAATTGGTCACCACAAAAATCACCCCCCCCCCCCCTTTGTGTGGTATTGAAGTTTAAAACATCAATTGGTATCAGAGCGGGTTATCCTTGAAGAGGCTAACACCTTAGGAACAGATCAAGATGAGTGCACCACCTATAAACTGGGAAGGGCAATCCACTACTAGGCCTCCACTCTTTAATGGCCAGTACTACTCTTGGTGGAAGAACAGGATGAGATATCATATCATCGGAGAAGACTATGAGCTATGGGACATTATCACTGATGGTTCCCTAGCTACCATGAAGAAGAATGTTGAAGGAGCATATGTGCCAAAAATAAGAGCTGACTGCAATGCTGAGGACTTGAGGAAGTGGGAAAAGAATGCTAAGGCTAAGAAATGGCTTGTGTGTAGACTTGGTCCAAACGAGTGTCGATGCCCCCCTTTTTCTAAAGGCGAAATCGATTTTACGATATTTGGGCGGACAACTCTATTCCTTTTGGGAATTTGGATTTTTTGAGATTTAGAATAGTCGCCACCTAATGATTGAGTACATTAGGACACCAAGGAGTAAAAAAAAAGAGAAAAGAACCAGAGAACGGGTAAGGGCTTGAAATTATCCCAGGGGGAAGGTGTTAGGCACCTCCAAGATCCACTAGTGTGGTTCCCGGCCATGCTACAATTTGTGACTTTAAAACATACAAGACAATTTCACATAACGATTACAAGTAGGATTTATTACAAAGGTCAAATAAGCATGCTGAAGTTAAGGAGTCGATGGTTTCATGCTCGTTTAAAAGAATGTATAAATGCAGAAAAATGAGGGTCAAGTAACGAATGCAAATAATCAGACAAAGAAGTAAATGGGCGGAAGTTTAAAAAAGGAAAATAGTGCTGGAAATTCCAAAGAGGTTTGAATTAAAGTGAAATACAAAGTTTAAAGAACTAGAAAACTGACGTAAGCACATATGGAGGGAGGGGGATCCTAGGTTTATAAATAACATGGATCATCCACGCAATACCCGGTAACCAATTATACGCGTGGTGTTATCACGTGATCATCATCTCCATGTCTACCCTTACCCACCCCGTTTAAGGTATTAAAGCGCAGAATGGTCTCGTTACTTATTGCATGCTATTACCCGTCCCGATCCTATCAGTCTCGGAGGCATTGAGACTACTAATCCTAAAAGGGAAGGGAATTGGGGCTTTTTAGAGTTTAAAAGGATAAAAGTCTAGGGCGACAAGCGAGAACACATAAGCAGTTAGGGGAAGAACACATAGAAATTAAGGCTCAAGTAGGCCTCCTCACTTAAAAGAGCAAATATAGCATGACTTCAAGTACTGGTTAGGTCTTTAATTAATATTACGTAAAGGGGGTGGCTGATTTATTACATATTTTCAGATAAGGAGTCCGAATTAGGCCTTGTCTGGATGTAGTTTATCATAATTGACGCAATTAATTACCTAATAGTTTGCCTAAGTGAGGCCTATAGGCATGACATCTAATAGAGCGTACTGATTTTAGGGAAAAGGTTACCGGTTATATGAAAGAAAGATCTGCGGATTTTGACGACCTTATGACTGATTTTAGACTCGTAGATGAAATAGACGAAGCTGGTTCAGTTGATTATTCCTACAGGCATGATTTCTAAGCGTAATTGGTTTTTAAATAAATACATAAATGCAAGAGTCCTATAGGCATAGTATCTAGAGTGAAGTTGGTTATTTATTAACCTATGATTGTTTGCCTAATGGCATGTATATGCAGAAGTGCAGAAACCTAAGATCATGATTTCTATATGCAGAACTTATAGACATAATTTCTAAGATGCAGAAGTGCAGGACTTATAGACATAATTTCTACAATGCAGATGTGCAGAAACCTAAAGTCATGATTTCTATATGCAAAACTTATAGACATGATTTCTAAGATGCAGAAATACAGAATTTATAGGCATGAGTTTAAAATGTAGAATGCGGAAATTGTAAATAACCTATAGGCAGGTTTTCTACCCTTGGCATGCATTCATCCCCATCCCTTTCCACTAGCCATCCTCAATTGTTATTACAAACTATTACAGATCCAAATGAATCAGAAAGAAAAGTAAAATTACATCAGAAGTTCCAGCTGCATCCAAACAGCCTAATTCAGACTTAAAAGTCCAACAATATGAGATAAACCAACTTCCAGGATCAGATTTCCAAAAGCCTTTCTCATATTTGGGATGTGTCAAAGTTCCCAAGAGTCTCAAAGGGGCTCCGGGCAATGCTTACACCCCAAACACATTGCAGAATTAAGATCATAGTGCAGTGTGGAAATGCCAGCCCTCAGATGTCCAAGTTCAGAGGGAACTCAAGGTCCCAAAGCAAGGCTCATAAGAGAGGGGAAGAACTTAAGGGTCTAAGAATAAATGTAAGTGCATAGGGGAAGAGCCATGGC